TTTCAAGAGTCGCGCATTAAACGCTTTATATCGTCGGCGCGCAACCTTTTACGACCTTACGACCCGTCTCTATGGTGACATCGCGAGGACCTTTTGTACGGCGGTGAGGAAGTAACGTTCTCCGTCCGACGAAACTTCTGCGCGAGATAAACAGCGGAGAAGCGGTGTCTCGGTCGCTTCACTTATTTAGTCAGTTTTCAGTAGAGAGTGAAGATGCGGCGAACAGAGACAATTTTTTTCATCATTTAGTTTGAATAGTAAATATTTTTAAGATAATATTAAATTTTCAAATATTTTAGTTTTAGTTAATAATTGTTGAAATTATTCAATGTGTAATAAAAAGAAAATCTTTATTTAGTAGAAAATTCAATTATTAGACAATATTTTTGCATGAAAAAATATTCTACTTCGTTAAAAATTTACTGCTTTAAATTTAAACAATTTATTTTAATAAGAGTAATTTTTATTTGTTATATAGCTACTCTAAGTTTGGCAGGTAAATTACATTTAGCAAATATTTTATTGGAAACAAATCGATCGAGTATACGTCAGCACAATTGTATTTTCAGCAGTCGTAAGGGAGCGCCTCTCGCAAAATAGAGAGTGAAGGTGTGGCGAGCAGAGACAAATTTTTTTCAACATTCATTTTGAATAGCAAATATTTTTAAAATAATATTCTTCAAACATCTTAATCTTTGACTCGCTGCGGGGTACCATCAGCCGATTTTCTCTGATGAGCTGGGGTCTACGCGACCCGATTCGCGAACAAAAATAAGCGCGCGTGTCTGCCGAGTGTTAGATCCATAGATCACTTTGTCGCCGATTAAGGCCTCGGTCAACGAGCGCGCGACTCCCGAGTTACGCGCGAACGATCCTACTTCGTGACCCACTTTGCGAGATCGCTGCTCATCGCGTAAAAGCCGGAGACGCCGCATCGCAATGTTTCCTGGACTATAAACGAGACTCTCGATGACCATCTAAAAATATCACCGACAGCGTAGGTAATTGCCGGCACTCCGAGCGCTACGGTTCGGAGCGATGTGTAAGTCATGCATAAGCGTGGAAACGCATAGTGCGTCAGGTGGCCGCGTCGCTTTTGATGTTGAACAAGTCGTTAAGTTACTTTCGGAGTGTAACATTCTCCTTCGGCGACAGCGAGATCGGCTGCGAAAGTAGCATAAGCGTTCTTAGAAAACGATGTCATCGTTGAAGTAACATCAGTAATTGCATCTGAAAGATATAGTGGTTCTCTGAAAGTTTTCTGTACTTTGGGATAAATAATTTTTAATGAATGAATTTGAGAAACAGCCCTTTGTCATTTCTTAAATTTCTGTTAAACATGATTTAATTTTTACACATTTAAATTTGTAGAATTTGTATAAACAATATTCAAGATTATAAAAGCAATCCGTTTTTATTAATGTGAAAAATATCTCTGAAAAAATAATTTTTTTTTCGTAAATAATTAATATTTTATAATAATATTATATTTTTAATAAATGCAGTATTTCGAAATTTGTAAAGTTGTCAGTTCTTGAGAAAATTGTCGTTCTAGAAATTCCGAATATTCCTATATTCTGAAATTCCAACGTATATCGCAACTAAGTGATAATATTGCGCGATAAGGGAATACCTAATAGCTTAAAGACGGAGACGCGCATCTGCTGTGCTCGAGTAGCTAATCGTCGCCGATCAATATATCGTACGCGCACATACGCAATATAACTGCACGTAATTAACACCCATTACTAACCACTCAATGCGCGCTCGCACGGCCGCGCGCGCTTATGGCTTCTCAGTAGGAGCCTAAGCCCGCGAAATTAGCTCGCAATCGAAGAAACAGCCGAACACGATCGGGATATCGCGTAGGAGACGATCTGATATATACCAGGTGCGAGCTGTATATAATTCTGCAGCTCGTAGATAGAGTATAGCACATTCCACGCGGTGGAACGTCGAAGGAGGCAATCGCAGGACAGGGGTAAAATAGGAAGAACGAATAGAACGGGGAGTGGAGAAAGAACAAGAATACGAGGAATGAACGCACGAACGAGAGCGAATCGCGGTGCGTGTACGAACTACTTTTTGTCGGACTTCTCTGCCTGGCCTGTCGGGCCATCCTTCGTGTATTCCGCGCGCCTCCTTCAGCCCCTCGTCCCGTCGGCAGCCACAGCATCCTCCTCGTCTTCCCCGGTCCCCCCAAACATGCTCGTCCGGCTTTGGCCTCGGTCTCTTTTATTTTTCTAGATTTCAAAGCGCTCAAACAGGTTTCAAAATCCCGCCCGCGGAAAAATCGGAGTGCCTCCTCTCCCTCTTTCGTTCTACCTGGCTTTCCGCCTCTTCCTACTACTTCTTTTTCTTCTCTCCTCTTCCTCCTCCTCCTCCTCCTCCTC